GGCGCACAGAGAGCCTTCTAGGTGCTGACATCCCTTCTGTGGGATGTGCTTCCCCTCGTGCGATTGCTGGGCCGTAGGGCAGCTCTGGTTTTAACTTTCTGTGGACCCTCCGTACTGGTTTCCAGGGGGGTGGCCCCAGCTTGCATTCCCAGCAGTTCCTTTTTCTTCATACCCTCGCCAACACTTGTTGTCTTGGTTTTTGATGGTAACTGTCCTAACAGGTCTGATGAGTGATACCTCACCTTGGTTCTGATGCGCATTTCCCTAATGGTTAGTGATGTTGGGCACCTTTTCATGTACCCATTACCATTTGTAAATCTTCTTTGGAAAAATGTCTATTTAGGTCCTTTGCTCAGTTTTTTTTGAACATTTTATTCATTTATGAGAGAGCAAGTATGAGCAGGTGGAGGGGCAAAGAGAGAGGGAGAAGCAGGCTCCCTGCTGAGGATAGAGCCTGATGTGGGAGTTGATCCCAAGACTCTGAGATCATGACCTGAGCCAAAGGCAGACGCTTACCCGACTGAGCCCCCCAGGTGCCCCCTTTGCCCATTTTTAAATCACATTTTTGTTTTGCTTTTAAGTGTGAATAAATTTCTTATATGTTTTGGATATAACCCCTTATCAGATAAATATAGATACTATAAATATTTTCTCCTATTCATAGGTCACCTTTTCATTTTGTCAATGGCTTCCTTTTTTAGTTTGATGTAATCCCACTTGTTTGTTTTGTTTCTCTTGCCTGTGCTTTTGGTATAGGTCCAAAAAGTTGTTGCCAAGACCAGTGTTGAGGAGCTTTTCTCCCACATTTTCTTCTAGGAGTTCTACAGTTTTAGGTGTTATGTGCATCTTTAACCCATTTTGAGTTGATTTTTGTCTACTTCACAACAACGTGACATCTTACGTGATGTAAGATAAAGGTTCAGTTTCATTCTTTTGCATATGGCTGTCCAATTTTCCCAACACCACTCATTGAAGACACTTCTTCCCCATTAAATATTCTTGTTAGCCTTGTTGAAAATCAGTTGACTGTGTATGTGTGGGTTTATTTCTGGAGTCTGTTCACTGATTATGTGTCTTCTTTAATTCTCATACCAACCCGTTTTGATTACTTAACTTTGTAGTGTAATTTGAAGTCCCCTTCGTCCTTCTTGAGATTGCTTTGGCTCTTCAGGGTCTTTGTGGTTTCATATGAATTTTAGGATTGTTTGGTCTGTTTCTTTGAAAAATGCCATTGGAATTTTGGGATGGATTGCATTGAGTCTGTGGATTGCTTTGGGAGTGTGGACATTCTAATGATAAGGTTGCAGTCTGTAAGTGCAGGCTGTCTTTCCACTTACTGTGTCTTACTCCGTTTCTTTCATCAATGTCTGTAGCTCTCAGGGTACAGGTCTTTCACTTCCTTGGTTGAATTCATTCGTGGGTATTTTGTTCTTTCTGATGCAGTTGTGAATGGGTTTGTTTTCTTGATCTCTCTCTCAGGTTGTTGGTGTTCGCACGCGGACCGGCGCATGGTCTCTTCAGGTTGTTGGTGTTCACACGCAGATGGGCGCGTGGTACCCGTCACTCACGTAGACTTCCCCACTTGTCTTCATTCTTGGTTCTTGTCAGTGCTCTAAGGGGCTGTAGTCACGTGACCCATCTCTGCGTTTGCTGAGTCTTCCGTCCGCATGGCTGACCCTGCTGTGGAAGTGCTGTGTTGAGTTCTCGGGGTTTATCCTTGTGTTCTTCAACTCCAAGGTTTCTGTTTGGTTCTTTTCCTGTGGCTTCTGTTTCATTACTAAACTTCTTACTTTGTTTCTGCATCATTTTCCCGGTTGCATTTAGTTGTCTGTGTGTTCTCTTGGATTTCACCGAGTTTCTTTAAGGTGATTCGTTTGAATCCGTCTGTGTTTCATTGGCATCAGTTCCTAGAGCCCTGTTAGTTTCCATTGGTCGCGTCCTATGTGCCGAGTCTTGCAGCTGCGTTTTGATGCTGTGCATTTGAAGGAGCAAACAGCTCTTCCTGTCTTTACAGACTGGTTTTGTCTGGCAAGGACATTCTCCTGTGGGTTTGGGCTGATGGCATTCCCTCTGCTTTCACAGTCATGATGGGTCGGAGCTGGGTCACGAGGCTGCTGCTGGGTCTGCAGTGGAGTTAGTGGGCTTGTTAGCAGGCTGTGGGTCTTGCCTGGTCCCTGGGCGCGTCTCCGGGTGGGCAGAACTGCTTGTGGACTGTGGTGCAGCTGGGAGGAGCTGAAGCCAAGTCCCAGGTGCGCTTCAGGACCCTGAGGTCAGCTGGCCTGTCTCTAGGGGCACTGACTGCAGGCTTTTTCCTTTGGGACCCTTGGCCAACAGACCTGCTCAGGGACCAGCCGGAAGGTGGCTGGAGCCCACTTCCAGGACCCACGTAGTACGTGAGTGTGACTGAGTATGCTAACTGGACTGCAGCCCCGCGGGACTGGAGCTGGGTCGTCGGCCATTGTGGGGTCCAAAGCCAGGACTGAGGTCTGTGCGCCTATGACCCGGGGCTTGGGTGGGCAAGGCTCCTTCTTGGCAGAGGATGCTGGGGACAGGACCAAGTCAAAGGAGGCTATAGCTGGGGCCTCTGGCAAGTCAGCTGCCTGCATGCAGGGCCCGCTTTCTCAAACGGCTCTGCTTAGCCTTGGACTACATCTGGGTTTCAGTCTCCTCCCTGGATGCCACAGCTGCCATAGGGCATTTTTGTCTGAGGATGGATGCTGGGTTGTTGCTGAGGGGAGCACGAGTGGGGACCTCCTCTTCTGCCATCTTGCAGCTGGCACTGCCCCTCCGTTTCCAGCTGTTTGCTGGTTGTTCTCTCTCTTGCCTTGAAGCGGATGACCTCAGGTCTGTCTTAATTGTGAGGACTGGAGCGGTCAGAAGAGTACCTTACACCCTGACACCTGTCTGTCTCACATCCTCTGTGACCCCTTTGCTCGTACGTTCACAAGGGGCCCTCGCTGTCTTGTCTTCCCCCACCAGAACTCTCCAGAAGCATCGTCTGGATCAGCTGCCTCCATGTGCTTGCCTCCCATGCACCCTCAAGCCCCGTCCAGGTGGACTGTTGCCCCAGCCTCATCACCAGCACCGCCTTTCTCCAGGCCTCCAGTGACGGGGTGCTGCCAGGCTGAGTGGGGAACCCATGTCCTCCCTCATCTGGCCCTGCTGTGTCCTGTTTCCTGCTGACTCCATGTCCCGTCCCCCGGCCTTGTCCTCCTGTGTTCGTGGCTCAAGTCCCATCCTTCACTTAGAATAGTCCCAAATACTAGTTTGTCCTTGATTGTTGCACTGGCGTCCGAACTAGGCTCTTTGCTTCCCTCTTGCGCCTTCCCTGTCCGTCTTCAGCGCAGAGCAGAGAAATTGCTCCAAGACGACGTCCGTTGGCTTCCTATCACATTTAGGTTAGAATTCTCATGTCCTCAGCCTCCCTCTCTGCCTCTGAGGCCTCATTCCTCATGTGTTCCCCTGTGCACATGGGGGAACTGCCTGCTAGGGGGTGCGCTCCCTCGGATCCCTGCCAGGCCTGCCGTCCCCTCCGCCGGGCTCTGGGGCGGGACCCCTCTGGCTGGCGTGACTGGAGCAGCTCCGCCCTGCTCTCCCCGCACCTGTGGCATTCTCCTCGGTGTCCGGTTGCCCCTGACTTGATGTCCAATGTTTATTTATTCAGTTGGGCATTGCCTCTCCCTCCAGGAGCAGAGTTTGATGGCTTTAGGCTGAGGAAACAGCGTTGCAACAGTGCCTGGCGTGCGGGAGACAGTAGATGTCTGAAATCTGTGGTGGGTTATGAGTTTAAGTGAGTGCCCAGGAGAGGCCTTTCTGGACAAAGGAATGACATTAGATTGTGTTTCAAGGGCCTTTTGTAATTTCCAGCCTCATCAAGTCCATTGGTTTTATTTTGTTGGTTGTGGGTTTTTTTGCTTTGTTTTATTGTTTGCTTTTGCTGTTTGTGGGTGGATTTTGGTAAAGCTCTGTGTGAAACAGGCACGAGCTCTCTGTTCTTACTGTTAATAAATGCCCTGCTTTCTCCGTACTTTTTGTTGGTCTTTGACTTTTAAAATTTAAGTGTTTGTTCTCAGAAAATTCCACGTATAGGATTACACAGATCTACACAGAACTGTATGAAAAACTTGTTAGTTCTTTGTGTTTCCTTGCCTCTGCTATCCTGGCAACCTAAAAATAGGGTCCTCGCCTGCTATGCAGAGTCCAGGGGAGGGGAGCAGGGACTCACCCCAAACTCCAGTATGAAAACCTGCTGTCACAGTGTGTGGCTGCTGGCGGTGCCAGGGCCTTACCCTGAGCTCCAGCCCTCTGTTCCGTGATGACCAGTGCCTCGTGGGAAACACACTTCAGTGTCCCCCACTGTACCATCTGGCATCTTGGGAGAAGTCTCCGCTAGAAGCTGGTTCCGGCCCCTGCCTGCTCGTGAGGGCTGCGTACGTGGCCCCCTCCTGTCGGACCTCTGATGCCCGGCACTTGGCACCTGGAGCTTTGATTGCGTGGATGTTAGAACAAGTTCGTCGGACTCCGGTGTAGAGACTGCATCGTCCTGACGGCCCGTGGGCTTAGGATCTCTAGCCTTTATCGTTCTGGCCTGTGTTTATCTTTTTCCTTGCTTTTATTCTTTCCTTTATATTTTGTTATTGTTTACGTATCTGTGTTCTTGTAGGCTACCTGGAAGTCCTTTTTGAATCGAGACGAGGTATTAAAGAAACTTAACACTTTTTTATGGGGCGGAGGAGCGGGGAAGAAGGACCTCCTCACTTTACTAATAAGTCTTACTCCTCAGATTAACTCTTGTTTTGGCTTAGGGGAGAGGGGATTTTAAGTTTTTTTGCCTCTGATTTCCTTTTCTTAGTAGGTGAAGTAGCAGTTTTCTTACTGTCTGTGCACAGATGTGTAGATGAATTAATATGTATATTGGAAATAGGAGAATCACTGTGCTGAATCATCTGCTTGGTACATTTTAAACCATTTTTCCTGAGTTGATCATTTCTTTTATGTAGGAGGAAATGAGTCTCAGCCGGAAAGCCAGGAGGACCCCCGAGAAGTACTTAAAAAGACGTTGGAATTCTGCTTATCTAGGTAAGGATGCCGATGGCTGTTCTAGTGCCTGCTCACTTGGGTGTTGTGCCCTGGCTGTTACGTACAGATGTGACTCAGTGCAGAAGGAGCAGGGAGCTGTTGATCTCTGCACAGGACGTGGGGAACATGGAGGAGTGAAAGCCTTTGACGGGGAGAACCGAACTGAATCAGCTAGGCCAGTGTTTCCCACGGTTCTCCCCAAATTCATCGTGATGATCTTGACCTGGGTTGATTTTTGAAATTCAGAGTCCTGGACACGACCCCCCGCCCCCAGTCCACGGAATCAGACTCTGAGGGTGGGACCTCCCAGAGACACTCTTGAGCACAGTGAAGTCAGAACAGGTTTCCTGTTCTAGTTCCCCCAGTATGCCAGGCTCTGCAGTGGCAAATCGTTCTGTGTGTGCCGCTTGTAGTTGCACTTGTGCCTTTGTCCTGAGTACCGCCTTTTCTGTTGACACGCGGAGTGGAACCTTTAAACTTCCATGTGGCAGAAACATACATACAGGAAGATGGGACTGGGTTCAATGTAGTTTTCTTTGTGAGGATAACTGATGGGCCGTGTGTAAGGTTTTCTGTCCGCGATGGTGATATACATTTCAGGTGTTTCTCTGGGGCTGCCTTCGGACTTCCCAGAGCCCCTGGGAAGGGCCGCCGTAGAGACTGTGGGCCTATGTGGAGGGGAGAGGCGGGGCGGGTGCCCCAGCTTGCCTTCCTGGCCCACCCCTCCCCGGTTGTGGCCCTGGCACACGGCCTCCGCGTACGCTCTGCAGGGGAGGGCCGCTGCTCCGAGGCCGCGAGGTGGAAGGGCGGCATCTGCATCTCACACAGCTCCCTCTGTCCCTCCTGCGCTACCTGACCGGTGGGGATGGAGCAGCGTTGCCGTCTGCGGACCTTGAGACTGTCCTCTGCCTTCCCTAGGACCAGTGTGCGTTGAGGTGTTCTGAGCACGTTGTCCTGTTAACGGAGACTTACTGGAAGCCTCACCAGAGGCCCAAACCCCTGAGCTGCCAGCGCCTGCAGCCTGCCTGCTGTGACCCCGAGGGCTGTGGGATTGTTCCTGGTCCTTCCCTGCTCCCGGCTGCTAGCGTTCCAGAGGGTTCGGCGGGCGCAGCAGGCACTTGGGCACCGGCCTTTCCTGGCCTGTTCTTTCAGCTGGATTTTCTTACCTAAAAAACTGTGTGTATTTTTAATAAGTTACTCAGACACTTTTTAGAACAAAGATAAGCTATAAATACATTTTTAATGGATTATCCACTCATTCATTGTGATTGTAAAAGGCGCACTATACTTCTGCTCTCTCTGCCTCCCCAGATGTCTTTAAAAATTTTCCCTAAGGTCCAAGAGAGGACGAGGCACAGTTGGGGTTGGAGCTCTCCTCTGGCTCTGAAGCCGTGCCACGCTCACCCCCCTTTGGAAGCGTCCCTTTAGAGAAGGAGGCATTAAAAGCTCTTGTCTTCTTTCCACAGGGAGAACCTGGCTAGCGACATGTACCTCATATCGCAGATGGACAGTGATCAGTATGTGCCGATCACCACGGTCGCCAACCTGGACCACGTCAAGAAGCTGAGCACGGACATGAACTTGATTGTGGAGGTGCTGAGGTGTAAGTAAACGGCGGTCGTGGGGGTGAGTGTGTGCTCTCGCCTGGTACTCGATGGCGAGTGGGGTCTTCTTTTGGCTTCCTGGCCGCTCCGGCCGGTGCCCTGTCTGGCGGGGGCCGTTGACGGGCTCAGAGACACATCTCACCAGGAGTGCGCCCGAGAAAGGCTGCTGCAGAGGCGGAGGGCCGCTGGGGCTGGTGACAGATGTGGGGAAGGACGGCGCTGGAGGCCAGTTCCATTAGCATACTAGCAACAAGAAGGGCTTTAAATTTCAAATTCCGGCTCAAGTTTGGGTGAATTGGGACTGTTTTCTTTAAAAGGTTATTGTGAGTGAAGTTGTTTCTTGGATCTCTGACAACATCAGAGCAAGGTTTAATACCTCAGAGACCGACAGGGGTTCCGGGACTGTAGGCTTCTAAGCTGTGGTTTGCTGGTGCAGGCATCTACAGCCCAGCCACTTGGTCGTGTGTTTCCGAAGACACCATCTGCCTGAGGTTACAGCCGACGTCCAGGGCGCTGCGCCGTGCGTGCGTGTGCCGCTTGGCTGGGTCAGCGTGGGCCTTGGCGTACGGCTGCGAGACCACCACCGCCTGGAGTTTTTGGAGGGCCTCTGTACTGCCTCCACCTCACCCTGCTGCCTGGGATAGCTTCTCTGGGGATGAGTTTTAAATTCAGTGTACAGTATATTGGATATCTTTTCAAATGGGATTGTTTTTAATTATAGAAAGTCACTTTCTATAATAGGACTGCAAGTACCAGATGATTTATTTCTGTAGTCTCCCTTCTCAGGGCTGCTCTGACTCCTTCACAAAGAACACAGTGTACAGTATGTCCCCTTGCCCCAAATATTTCTAAATGAGGGGACATCCGGCAAGCCAGAACTGAGACCCCATTTCCCTGTGTCACCGCTGTGACTCTCCGTCATTGAGGCAGCAGTGATTCCACACTCCCCAGCATGACTGGCAGGTAGTGATGACTTTTTCTTGTGTGCATTTGACTTCATAGAGGAATAGGTGAACGTGAACATCTTATCTTAAAACTTGGTTGGATTTCTTTTCGCAAATGAACGTTCTCTGCTTCCTGTTCCCAGACAGATTTGGTAAGGTCACTCCGTTATTTGAGCAGGTAGTGAAGAAATGGGCAAGCATCATCTGTGAAGTTTGAATTCTGAAAATTAGAACCGCTGTTTCCCAAGATTGCTTATGCTTTCCAGTGTGGCTTTGGTTTTGACGTTCCATTCAAAGCAGAAGTCTGCTTGGTGGGTCGGGTTGAGTTTGGTCCTGTCGGGTGCACTTAAATAAAGGCCAGTGGCTTTCCTAACCTGAGAACATTTCACTCAGTTCACGGCCTTTGGTCATTATCAAGAGTCCCAGGTGTAGTTATTTCTTCTAGGCCTTCCTTGGGAACTCGGCTGCCCCGTGGATGATTCCTGGTTGACGCCGGCAGGAGTCCTGCAGAGCATGAGGCTGTTGGGTTGCCTTGTGCGGTTGCTGCAGGGAGGCTGTTTCTCTCTGTGGACCCACAGCCCCGCCGCCCTCTCCGCCCTTCTTCTGCCTTCCCTGCTGGGGGCGGAGGGTCTGGAGTTGCGGGGTACCTCCTCGCCTTCCTCCTCAGCTCTGAAGTGTCTCACTGCCTCCCTTCACTTGGCTTCAGACAGAGACATGTGCCGGCACGACGGCCTGATGGATCGTGGAGTTAGCGTAGCGGTTGTAGTTCTGCGGACGGTGAGAGAAGTGAGCCTCTGTGAGCAGAGATCTCCTGTTTAAATCTTACCCCGTCCCCAGAGTGCCTCGCATGGAGCTTTAGATACACAGTAGACACTTGATAACATTTTAACTTGAATATTCCCCGGTACAACACCAAAACTCTGGTGTTGGTTGAACTGCATAAATTATGTTTTTGTGTCATAATACACGTGGTACACAGTGCATGGCACAGAATGCCTGATTCAAATGCTTTGCTTTTATACTTAATACAGTTGAAATTGCTAATTTAAAAACAGACTCAGGTGTTTGTCAGCAGAGCATGAGTAGATGCATTGTGACGCAGCCTCACCGTGAACGCTGCAACAATTACAATGAACTAGGCTGCGTTTTCAGCAGGAATCCATCGTAGTGCTGACCACAGAGCCCGTTTCACACACCTGCGGGACGGTAATGTCGGCAGTGCGCAGGTACGAGTCCCGTAGATCCGAGTCGGCCTCTCATGGGTTCAGAGGTCCAGGGGTGAGAGTGTATAGACCCGAGTGGGACTGACCTTCCTGGTTCAAGGTGAACCTTAAGGCAGGGGGTGGGGGGCACACGAACCGGGGACAAAACCGGGACATGAGAAGCACAGGGAACCTCGCCAGTCCCTGCTTCTTTTGTTTTTACAGCTTTCCTGAGGTAGAGTTTACACACCTTAAATTACTGCCTGTACATCTGTCAAGTCACGACATCTTTATGCACCTGCAGAGCTACTGTAATGGCGATGACGACCATACTGTCCACCCGGGAGTTTCCTCCAGCTTCAGGCCGCCCCCCATCTGCTTTTTGTTACTGTGCCTTAGTTTGCGTTTTCTGAAGCTTCATGCAAATGCAGTCGGTCCTGTCGTAGCCTTTGGGGGTGGGGATCCGGTCTCCTGGCTCAGCACGATGGCTGGAGAGCCCGTCCATAGCTTTTGGCCTTTCATTGCCGAGTCCTGCTCCACGCGGTAGATCGGCCGCAGGTGGTTTTTGACCCCCGTTGGTAGACTCGCTCTCGCCAGGCTTGGACCACTGCAGATCAGGTGCCCCGAGCGCTGCTGTGCACGTCCCGTCCTGCGCGGGGCTCTGCTTCTCTCTCCCAGTAGCCAGGACAGGATGGAGGGCGTATTCTGACTTGTGAAACTGCCTGCGGTGGTGCGGCCGGTGGCCCCACACCCTCGCTGTCCCCACCCTGTGGGGCGTCTCACATGCAGATTCTCCGACTTTATCTCTTTGCTCTTTCAGTTTCCGTTTCACTAATGGCTGGTGACACGGAACAGTCTTTTCACGTGCCTCTTTGCTCCCCTTTTATCTTTGTTGAAGTGCCTGTTCTTGTGCCCCCAGCCCCACCTTTTTATTAGTTTTCTTACAATTGAGGTTTGTGGGAGGGTGTGTCCTGTGAGATCTGTATTATCATTATCTGTGTCCAGATATAAGCTGTTACCAGGTATGTGATTTGCAAATACATTCTCCTAGTTTCTAGCTTCTCTTTTTTATTCTGCCAATAATAGTGTCTTTTGAACAGCACTCTTCTGAATTTTTGGTATAGTCCAATTTATTAATTTTTTTCTTTCATGATCTTGCTTTTGGTGGCATAGCTATTAAGTCTGTGGTTACCAAAGCCATGGAGGTTTTTTCCCAGAAGTTTTATAGTTTTAGGGTTTACATTTTTAGGTCTGTGTCCGTTTTAAGCTAATACTAGTATGTGCTTTGAGGTATGGATCTAAGTTCTCTGCCCCCCTCACATGTGGATATGCAGCTGTTCCAGCCCCGTTAGCTGGACGGGCTCTCCCTTCTCCCCTAAGTTGGGTGGTGCCGTTGTCGGGACCATCCAGCCCCCCACTGCAGATTTATCTCTGGGCCTGTGTCCTTGATCTGCTTCTCTGTTTTGACACCTGCCCTGCAGTGTCTTTTTTTTTTTTTTTTAAGGTTTCTTGTTGTTAAGATTTTATTTATTTATTTGTCAGAGAGAGAGAGAGAGAGAGCACGCACAAGCAGGCAGAGGTGGAGAGAGAAGCAGGCTCCCTGCTGCACAAGGAGCCTGATGTGGGACTTGATCCCAGGACACTGGGATCATGACCTGAGCTGAAGGCAGCCGCTTATCTGACTGAGCCACCCTTAAAAACATTTTTATTGGGATTGCATCGAATGTACAAATCAATTTGAGGAGAATTGACACATAACGATAGTGAGGTTTACATTACATGAACACAGTAACTCTCCATTTATTTACATCTTTTATAATTTGTTCTTGGTAATGTTCTGCAGTTTTCAATGTACAGGTAGTCCGTATCTTAACAGATTTATAATTATTTTCCTTTTTTGACACAGTTTTAAATGTGTTTATTTCAGTTTCCCATCAGTGCTAGGATGTAGAAATAGAATTCATTTTTTAATTTTTTGTAACAAAGTTTGATGAAAACTTTGTTAAAGCTCCTCAATTCTAGTTTTTTGGGAAATTTTTTCAGATTTTCTTCATAGAGATAAGCTTGTTGCCTGTGAATGGAAAGTTTTTGCTCTTCGTACCCAGTATGGGTGCGTCCAGTTTCTGTCGCTCGCGTTATTGCCCTGGTTGAGCCTCTGGGACAGCGCCGACCAGGAGCGGAGAGAGTGGCTATTGTTGCTTTGTCCTGTCTTCAGTAAGTGTGCTGCTAGACGCCGGCTTTTCCTACGTGAGGAGGTTTCTCTCATTCTAATTTGCTGAAAATTTCTTTTCAGGAATGTTGGGTTTTGCCACATACTTTGCATCTGTGAGGTGATGAAATGTTTTTTTTTGTTTTTTTAGTCCATTAATGTGAATTCTGTTGCTTAATTTTTTTTTAAAGATTTTATTTATTTATTTGACAGAGATCACAAGTAGGCAGAGAGGCAGGCAGAGAGAGGGGAGGAAGCAGGCTCCCCACAGAGCAGAGAGCCCAATGCGGGGCTTGATCCCAGGACCCTGTGTTCATGACCCGAGCCGAAGGCAGAGGCTTTAACCCACTGAGCCACCCAGGCACCCCTGTTGCTTAATTTTTGATTGGTAAACCAACCTTTCATTACTGTGCTAAACCCCACTTGTCATGGTTTATTATTTTTATGTATTGTGGGGTTTGATTTGGCAGAATTTGGTGAGAATTTTTCATCTGTGTTCGCAGGGGATATTGGTCTCTAGTTTTCTTGCTTTGTGTTGTCTTTGTTCGGTCTGGGCATCGGAGGGCGGCCGGCTTTGCAGGTGGAGCTGGCGGGTTTTCTCTTTCAGGTATTTAGGAAGAGGTTGTGCTGTAGAACGGGTTTATTTGTTTCTCAAGTGTCTGATAGGGTTCTCCGGGGATACCACGGGGGCCTTGAGTTTCTCGCTCTCATAGATCTGGGTCTGTGTTGGTGACTGTCTTCTTAGAGCGAACGTTGATAGTGTGTATCTTTAAGGATGTTTCTGTTTCGTGTAAGTTGTCTAACTTACGTTTATTGGCAGGAACTTTTTCATAATGTTCCCTTAGGGTACTTTCAATATCAGTAGATCTTGTAGTGAAGTTAGTCTTTGTTGCTCATGTTGGCAGCATGTCTTCGTTGGGGGGTGGACAGCTCTGAGCCCTGTTGTGCTGCGTTGTGACTGGAATCTACACGTGGTACAGTTTCGTAGACGTGACACCAGAACAGAACATCACAAAAAGGAGCGTATGCAAAAACTTGTGAGGTCTGAATCTGGCTTGTCCCTGTGCTGGCACTGTTGCCCCAGCACCACCACCCTCCTTGTGTTGACCGTGGGCTGCGGTTATGGAGGACGTCACTGCTGGGAAAAGCTGTGTAGGACCCCGTGGCACCTTGTGATTCAAAATAAAGAGTCGTGATGGTCAGAAAATTATTTTACGCTGGGGGCTCGTAGAAAAGAGGAAGCCAATAACTCTGCGTTGTGATCTACATGTCGTTTGCACTGTTGAATCCTTGTTTCATGGGGTTAAATTTATTCTAGATCTTAAAGGACTTTTTAAATTCCTGTGCTCCTTAGTTTTGAGAAATTTAACCTGTGAGATGGGTGTAAAACCTTCTGATGGGTTGTCTTAAGGTGTCCCACCACATACAGGTGTCTTCATTGTGTTTAGTGAGTGAGATACAGCACATCACACTGCAGTGTCTGTTATGTCATAACTAGAATACAGACAATTTGTTTGAATATTTGTGTTTTACCATTCATTTTTCCTCTCTTTGTAGCTTTACCGTTAGTCCAAGTGGATGAGAAGGGGGAAAAAGTAAGGCCAAATCAGAGTCGTTGCATTGTGATCCTGCGGGAAATACCGGAGTCCACGCCTATAGAAGTAAGTCTCCTCTGATGGGTGCTCGGACTTTCTTTGTGGGTTTTTGTTTTATTTCTGTTTACTTCTGTGGTTTTTTTTTTAGAGGGCATATTGTAAAGAATACGTACAGTAACACTTTCTTCCCAGGATTTATACATTGTCGGTTACAGTGTGACTCATTTTTAAGAGTGGTGCTCAAACTTTTTGGTCTTGGAGCTCCATTATATTATTCATGTTAAAAAATACTGAAGAGGGTGGGATGCCTGGTTGGCTCGGTTGGTTAAGCGATCCCCAGGGTCCTGGGATCGAGCCCTGTGTGGGGCTCCCTACTCAGCGGGGAGCCTGCTTCTCCCTGCTACCCACCTTTGTGCTCTCTCCTCTCACTCTATCTCAAATTAAAAAAAAAAAAAAAGGTACCAACTTGGGCAATAATTTGAGGGAACCGCAGTATTTGATAGTGTCAGAGTCGTGAAAAGTCTTCCACAGTTACTGTGTTGCTTTAAAACTCCTCACTTGTCGGGGCACCTGGGTGGCTCAGTGGGTTAAGCCTCTGCTTTCGGCTCAGGTCATGGTCCCAGGGTCCTGGGATCGAGCCCCACATCGGGCTCTCTGCTCAGCGGGGAGCCTGCTTCCTCCTCTCTCTCTGCCTGCCTCTCTGCCTACTTGTGATCTCTCTCTGTCAAATAAATAAATAAAATCTTTAAAAAAAAAAAAAAAAAACAAACTCCTCACTTGTCTGAAAGCGTAGACTGCGGTGCCTCTTGGCAGTGACGAGCATTTCTGCCTGTCTGTGCCCCAGAAATGATGAGGAGCCTTCATGTGAGGCTCCGACAGTGCCAGCTCTGGCCTGTTGACAGCACGGCCGCTGTCTGCTGGGGGGACTGTCCGCGACCCCGGGAGGTCCGTTCTGTCCGTCACAGGTGTTCCTGGGTCGGGCCTGAGGGACTCGTGCCGCCCGCGTGCTCAGCGCCGTCTCCGTGGAGCCGGTCTGCGTGTGTCTGAGGGACCCGTCTCGGCGCGCTGTGGCGGAGGTGCGCTCTGACAGCCCTGGCCGAAGAAGTCTCGCCCGTCTGGAGTGCGGCCCTGTTCCAGCGAGTTTTACTCTTCGTTCAGCTAACGCCGTTTTCTAGTTCTGTGTTCTCTGTGAAGAAAAAGAAATTGGGAATGAATTTTTTATCCTCTTCTTTTTAAGGTTGTAAATATGGAGTGTCACCTTACTTCTTTCTAGCAGTCCGGAGTCTTTGTTAGCGCCCAGTGGTCCCGCACACGGAGGTCCTCTGAGACACTCGTAAGGGCTAAAGCGGAGAAGAATTTTCTCTTTTGGGCCGCACACGTTGATCTTGGTGTATTTGTGTTACTCCAAACAGCACACCCTAGATCTGTTGTAAAATGGAGCCATGGAAGTGTTTTAGATTTTTGGTAAACTGAGGTTGAAAGAGAAGGGAAGGGGGAGAGCGGGGCTGGCTGCAGGGGCGGGGGCGAGCGTACGGGGCGCGGAGTGCAGAGCCCTCCGCCCCGGCTGCGGAGTGCGCTTCCCGGTGCCGCGCAGCCCCGTGCCTGTCCGTGGTTGGAAAAGTCTTTAAATGGTAGTTCATTTGGTTGAGTAATAGACTTTCACAAAGTGGCCCTGATTCCCCGGGAATACTTTGCTCTGGAACCAACCGTGGTGTCCGCGGCGCCGCCCCTGTGCTGTCCTGTCCCTGCGGGTGCGGCCCCGGTGTCTGTGCCTTTAGCGCCTTGGCTGTCGGCGGCCAGAGCGGGCGGCCCGCGGGCTGCCTGGACGGGCGTCCTGCTCTCCTGGGCCGCTCGGAGGTTCGCGGCCTTCTCGGCGGGGACTTGGGACCGTTCCGTATGAGCCCTCAGTGACAGGACTGGGTTTGGATTCACACCTGCTGCTCCGTCTCTCCGTGCTGGTCCTCATTTCCTTTCTTCCCGCGCCTCCCGTTCGGCTTGGGTCACATTCATTCTCTCTGTCTCCCTTTCTTGGCTTCTTGCTCTAACTCTTTTCGTTTTCCTGGCCGGCACGTCAGTGGGTGCGTCCGGGATCGGTGGGGCCGTCCTCCGTGGGCCGGCGGCTGCCCCTTCCCGGGCGTCTCCGCTCCCATGCCCAGCTGGCACGCGCTGCCGCCCCGAACCACACGGTGTTTTGTTACGTTTGCGTCAGACAAGCTCATTTTCTTTCCGAGAGATTGAAAATAAGAAAGATGTGTTTATCCAGCATTTGCCATTTACGGTGCTTTTTTATGCGCCCGTCCAGGTCGGCACTTGCTCTGGCTTCCTTTCTGCCCGTGTCGTCCTTCAGTTCTCGGGCTGCGGCTCTCCTGGCAGGGAGGGTTTTCAGCTTTTGTGTGTTTGAGAAATTCTTCTCTTTTTTATTCATTCTTTTTGAGAAAATCTGTATTTGCCTTCATTTACGGAAGCCCTTTTCTCTGGGCGTAGAACTCGGGATTCCAGGTGTGTGTTCCCTTCCGGTGTCCACAGCTGCTGTCCTGCGCTCTGGTGCGCGGCGTTCCTCCTTGGCTCCTCTGTGTGTTAGCGCTGCTCCCTTTCTCCCGGTGCCGTGAGGTGTTAGGCTCTTTGGTGATGATGCCCCTTGGTGCCACTTGCACGTCTCTTGAACGGAAGTTTCCTGAGGGGTCATTTCTTCACTTTTTCTCTTCTCCTGTCTTTTCTTGTCAAAGTTCCTAACTAACTGCTAATCCTACGTACGGCATTTTTCATTCCAGAAGTTCTTTTTGGATCTTTGTTTCTTTCCTCTTCTGTGTCTCTTTTTAACATGCTCAGTCTTCACCTTTTTGAATATAGAATATATATCCCAGAACTGCTTTCATATTCTTGCCCTTTTATTCTGTCGTCTGTATCATTTCTGGGTCTAATGTGATGGATTTTTTTTTCTCCTTCGGGTCCCATTTTTCTTTTCTTTTCTTTTTTTTTTTTTTGTTAATATTTTATTTATTTATTTGAGAGAGACACAGTGAGAGAGAGCATGAGCGAGGAGAAGGTCAGAGAGAGAAGCAGACTCCCCGTGGAGCTGGGAGCCCGATGCGGGACTCGATCCTGGGACTCCGGGGTCATGACCTGAGCCGAAGGCAGTCGTCCAACCAACTGAGCCACCCAGGTGTCCCCGGGTCCCATTTTTCTGTTTCTTTGTGTGCCCAGTAGATTTTGAATGGATTCCAGGCATTTTGGATTTTACTTTATTGGGTACTAAGTGTTCGTGTATTGTTTCCTGGAACTGGTGTGGAGCTTTGTGTGAGGCTCCCTTCGACCCTCCAGGAGTGCTGTGAAGCAGAAGTAGGGCCCGTGACTCCAGAGCGGTGCCCTTCTGCTCGCTGTGCCCGAGCGCCTGTGTGCCGGGGGTGTTCTCTGCTCTGCCTGGTGGGGGAGACGCACCCCCCCGTCCCTGGGCGTCGTTTATACTTGGTGAGGACACATGTGGCATAGATGAGAATTAATTTCTCCCTCTCTCTTTCCTGTAGGAAGTAGAAGCACTATTTAAAGGAGACAATTTACCGAAATTTATAAACTGTGAATTTGCCTATAACGATAATTGGTTTATTACGTTTGAGACTGAAGCTGATGCACAGCAGGTAAGCCGTCCCCCACCGCTCCCGTGGCGCTCAGTGTTACCCTGACCTCACAAGCCAGACGTCGGGGGGCCACTAAATTGGGGCCTGGAGATTACTGCTGTGTGGTGGTCCTAGGTTTGACTATAAAGCACAGGGGAATCGGGTTATAGAGACTGAGTAGGCATGTTTGTGAAGACCGTTCGTGTGGCAGTAGAGCATGTGACATTATTTCCCAAGGACATGTACGACAAGTAGCCCGTGAACATGACTTCTGTTCGTTCATCTGGGTGAGAGAAAGTTTTAATATTCGATAAATGTTCTGGGAAATTTGAACATCATTTTAAGTTTCACGAGGCATCATTGTGCGTGTCAGAGAGTTGCAGAGGCCCTGGGGAAGCTCTGTGAGGAGAGGGAAGGAGGGAAGATGCTCTCCCTGGCCTGAAAGAGGAATCTTAATTGGGGGAAACGTTAACATGCTTCAAGGAATGCCAGTACAGTTGACCCCTGAGCGACAGGGGAGTTAGGGACGCTGACCCCATGCAGGGGGGACGCACATCGAACTCTGGACGCCTCCCGTCTGAACCGCTCGGACTCCACCGCCAGCGCCCCGCGGCCTGACTGATAGCAGTGACATTTGGCACGAGTTTTGTGTGTTATTTGTGTTGTGTACGGTGTTCTCGCAATAAAGCAAGCTAGAGGAGAGAGGAGACTGTGAGGAAAATCGCGGGGAGGAGAAAGTGCGTTCATAGTCCCGTCCTGTGTATGTCCGCCAAAGCCTGCCTTTGAGTGGACCCTCGCAGTTCCGACTCCGGTGGTGGTTCGGGGGGAGCTCCGTGGTGGGAAGCGATGTGGGTGCTGCGACGGTCAGAAGAAACAGGCCTCTGAAGGGCGGGCTTGACTGCGTTGGAGGGAAGGGGCATGAGAGGGGCCGGGCGGTGGGAGATGAGGGGAGTCCCGTTGGCGGAGCAGGCGCAAGGCCCCTCAGCAGCGCGGGGCGGGGGGCGGCTCAGAGCCTTCCCAGCTAAGGAGGGCGCTTAGGGGAGGCGTAGGAGCTGCGCCGGCGCCGCCGTCAGAGCGTCTCCCTTTCTCCGACTGTGCATCCGCTTTCACATCAGGGCAGCTGCTAGGCGCTCGGTGGCCTGAGCCTGTGGTCGTGGGAGGCTGTGGTGGTGTGTGTTAGCACTGATAGAACCGTACGTCATTCAGGAGGGTGTTTGCGAGAGGCTCCCTAGGTCTGAGAGGTTCTTTGAAGGAGTCTGTGACCCGAAGTGGATTAAGAATCGGTGTTTGGGGTTTTGTCTGTCCTACCTTACTGTCGAGGTGCTGGGCTGTCAGTTCATCTGACTTACAAGATTAACATGGTGGCATTTTGGGTGATTTTTGCCCTCAGGCTTACAAGTATCTGCGAGAAGAAGTCAAAACTTTTCAAGGAAAACCAATTAAGGTAAGTAAGACCTTGGTTATACTTTGTTTACCTGCAGACCAGTTCTGGGGCACGCTGACCGAAATCTCTCTGTTCCCACATAGGCACGGATAAAAGCAAAGGCAATAGCTATAAACACATTTTTGCCAAAGAATGGATTTAGACCTCTGGACATGAGCCTTTACGCGCAGCAGCGCTACACAGCCTCCTTTTACTTGCCTCCGGTCTACAGCCCCCAGCAGCAGTTCCCCCTGTACAGCCTGATCGCCCCCCAGACGTGGTCGGCGACACACAGCTATCTCGACCCCCCCCTGGTGAGTCCTGTCGTTACTTGGAGCTCGTGCAGCAGGAGGCTGTGGACGCTGCCCTGGGTGCTCGGGAGGGGTTGTTCTGGTAGCGAACCAGGGACGTGGGTGGTTGGCCGGCATGAAACAGACCTGAGTTCTTCGGCGGATTTAAACTTAGTCGGGAGATCAGTAGGCAGCTTCGTACCCGTAAAAAAGTGTTCGGAGGCTCTAATACTGATCTCGGCCCAGTCCCCCGCCCTCCTGTGTGGCGGCACCTTCCTACGCTGTGTAATCCCCAGTAAAACACACAGCGTGGTCCGGGCTCTGGGAGGCCTGGGTTACCCCTGAGTGCAGGGCGGGTTGCAGGGAGAAGTGCTTTTGAGGAGACAGAGGTAGGCGTCCCGGTAATTCCAGCAGCCAAGGACAAGTGGAAGACCTGCGAGCCTTTTCCCTCACACCAGCCCTAGAGTTGACCGGCCTGTGAAGTGGAGCCAGTCGCTTTCCTCCAGGGGCGCTGCTGGCGAGAGCGGAGAGGTCAGAGAGGTCAGGTGGACCCTGCCTCGGCGCTGCTGCGCGCTTGGTGGAGTGTGGGGTGTGAGAAGCAGGACTTGTCTGCTCAGTCCCGGCCACTGGCCTCCCGTCCGAGACAGTGCGGATGGACGGACAGATGGACAGGAGTGCCTGGGGCTGCAGGGCGGCTTTAGTGGGCACCAGAGCGGGGGGGGCAGTGGAGTGTGTGGAAGGTCGTGGTCGGAAAGCAGGAGGCCAGTTGATGACAGGATGCGGCTGTGGCCTGAGTCAGGGCCAGTCGTGCGGCGCTCGGGTCAGGTGCGGGGCATGGGAGACGCCTGCGAGCCAGGCCGGGCCGCAGCGCTCCTTACCACTGGCAGTGGGAGGAGGGCGTTGGCTGAAGGGAGAGCTGGAGAGGAGCGAGTCGCCTAGCGGGGACGGTGCCTGTTCCCTGCTGACTCGTGAAGATGTGTTCGTGAAGGGATGCGGCCTGGGGAAGACAGCGGTGTCCGTCAGACACGCGGTCATTGGCAAAGCGGGACTGAATACGGTGAAACCTCAAATTTGGAGGTTGCCAGGTGTCCCATCCTCCTCCGTTGAGCTTACAGCAGGGGTGTGAGGGAGGCGAGGCTGCAGGAGAGGGTGCGGCGCGTGCCGAGGCGCTGGCAGCGGTGGCACCGTGGGGGTCTCTGAACTGACCCAGAGGAGGGCAGACGGGGAAGGGTCAGGAGGGGTCCTCTCTGGCGCTGGCAGAGCCCGGAGGTCTAGAACCCCGCAGTGGCGGAGGCAGTTAGCAGACAGGTGCTGGCGTTAAGAGCCGCTTCTCTCTCTTCAGAGGGACTCCTCATAATGCACCCCTTTTCTGAAACCTTTGTTGCTTTCTGTAAAAGCGTGCCGAGAGCCTTGTAGCTGATACATGATGAGGGAACCTTCCAGGGAGATGAAGTCCTCACATTCCTGTGTGGGAGAATTTCTCCCAAGGAGGCTAGCCGCCATGGTTGTGCAGTTTAGTTCCTCTTAAGTCTCTCCTCTGATTTCTCTAATTGCACCCATATCGGGCTGGAGTAGGGGCTCTTGGCACCTGGGGTCAGTTGTCTGCCCACTTAGGAGGGTTCCTGTGATCCCGGCTTGGGGGTGGGCACCTGCGGCCTTGTGCTTGCTCGAAAGCGTGCTGTGTTATTTTGAGCAGATGTGAACATACGGTGCCTGTGAATTCTCTGCGAGTCCTATTAAATTACTGGGTCAGGAGCTAATTTATTTTTTAAACTCTTGAGCTCAGTCACGCAGATAGCAGAGTTGTGTATGTGAAAGTACATCCAGGAAGTGATTTGTTACGAGTGACCTTAGCATAGTTTATAATCTCAGAATCGGGTTCTGGTGTGATTGATCCATTTTTAAATCGTCTCACTCTGGCGGCTCTTCTCAAGCAGGCTGTTGAGGTGGCTTACAAAGTTCCAAGGGTACCTTTCTGACCCAGAGTTTCCCCCGCTGCTTTTCCTTTTTCCTTTTTTTTTAAAATCAACTTTGGGTCTTCCTCTGTCCTGAACATCCGTTTTCTGTCCCGCTTGCTCTCGGCTCTAGCTTCCGAGTAGGTGTCAGTGGCTTCCTCAGCAGGCTGCTGTGAGATCACCCGAGTCGGCCCGGAAAAAGGTCTTGCGCCAGCCTGGCTCAGGAAATACTGGTCGTTGGTAATGATCTAACACCATGTTCTTTTCAGCCTGGGAATATTTTCGGTATATAATTGAATAAAATGTCGAGAAACAGCCCAGATAAGCGGAAGGTCTCTGTGGTGTTCGCCAATTCCAGGTCTGTTTATGGCTTGTTGACTTGTTTGTTTTTAATGAATCTAGGTGACCCCGTTTCCAAATACTGGATTTATAAATGGGTTTACGTCTCCAACCTTCAAACCTGCAGCATCTCCTCTGACTTCCCTCAGACAGTACCCTCCACGAAGCAGGCAAGTTGCATGAGTGGTCGAAGGGCTGTGGTGTCCGGGGTTGGTGGTGGCGGGTCACTGCCATGTGGTGTGCTTGCGGGCAGAGCAAGACAGATGGCCTTAAACCAGGTGGTCCTCCCCACGTGCACGAGTCCCTTTGACTTAGTGAAGAAACGGCCTTGGCGATCTGTCGGGATGTGTTTGACCGTGCGAATCACACTGCTTGAGGCACGGACTTACATTCCGTGGGATGAAGCCCTGAAACGTGTGCTGAGAGCCTGCAGGTTGTCTGCACCGCGTCTCTGCGGGCGTCTGCTTTTAACGTGGGCTTGGACGCCGCTGAGCAGGACGTCGATACCTTGTCGATTCACGCTAGCAGACATGGTATGCGTGAGCTGTTTCTTCAGTAACATTTTTAAGATTTTTCTAAGTAGAGAGCGCATTTTAGCCAGAAGTCCTATATCAGTAATCCCATTTTAGGATTCCATGATGCCATTATAACTGAAAGAGCATGCAAACCCTTTGTTTACAGGAATCCTAGTAAATCTCATCTTCGCCACACCATTCCCACCGCAGAGAGAGGAGCTGGGCTATTAGAAAGCCCTTCGATATTTAACTTCACTGCTGATCGGCTAATTAATGGTGTTCGAAGCCCACAGACACGGCAGGCAGGTCAGCCTAGAACACGGATACAGAACCCTCCGACCTACACCAAGAGGGAGGTTGGGTCTGGCCGAGTGGAGCAGAGCAGCGCGGAGTCGCCTCCTGGCTTAGGGAGAGGGAGGTGAGTCCTTCGAGCTTCGGTCAGACAGCTATGACCTGCCTTTCCTAATAAGTTCTTAATATTTACAGGTTCCATCAATTTAGGCATGTTTTATAAATGTTACTTTCAAGTACATCACAGGCAAGGGCTCTCAGCTCATTAGGCCATCTTGGGCAAGACTGCTTCTAGGTTTTCTGGAAAGGAAAGGAATTAGTCAAAATTACTTCTTTGAACTCCTTTCCAGCTCACACAGACAGCACCAGCGTATTCAGTAGGAATAATAGAGGGATAAGTAAATAAAAACAAAATTATGGAATAGAATTAGCCTGTGGACTGTGAGGCCACAGAAGCCTGTCTAGGGCATGAGAGTGGCATGTGGCCTCGGGGCCTGCCAGGACTTGGCCACTCCATCGGTGTGTGTTGCTTCAGTGCGGGACACGGTGCCGGTCCCAGACCTCTAGAGCCCTGTGCACACAGCTGGGAGCTGGCTGTCACAGGGGCCTGGGGCTTGGAAACCTTAGTGCCGGCCGGTGGCCGCAGACAGGGGCTGATGTGGTCATGTCAGGGCTGGGAGAGAGGGAGAGCACGCCAGGCTGCTTTGGCATCTTTGCACTGTGACGATTAACCCAGTCCGTTTTCATTAGCAGTGGTTAACAGTTCACCTGTAGAGCTCATTGTCTGGTTCTGTGTGTCTTGTCATGGCAGCTGAATGGACATTCAGGTATCTCTGTAACAAAAATTCTAAATGTCCACTAGGAAAATTCTCTCAGTAAATGTTTTTCTTACTCTTCTGTGTTTTTAAAATCTTGACATCACTTTTAGTCTTTTACTACAAAATTTTTGGTTATACTTCCTAAGGTTGGGGTTTTACAATAAAAAGTCAACGGTAACAGATTACAAAGTAAGAAAGACTATGTGTGCACATACATGTGCTCAGTGAAAAACCTTTCAAGTGGGAAAAAGTTCACAGTGTTTTGCTTTCCTCTTCTCTAGGAAGAATTCCTTTGGCTACCGGAAGAAACGGGAGGAGAAGCTGACAGTGAGTACATCCAGCCCTTGACACTATTATAAAACTTGTAAACCTAATTTGTACTAAACAGACGTGCGGTTTAACTGCGTGATTGAAGGTTAGGACGTGTGGAGCTTTTCTTTTACCGTGATGAGCGTCAGGTGGTAACTGACTCGGCGGCCTGAAGGGGACAAGCTGGCGGCGTGTCTCTAGACATGCTGCTGGCCCCCACGGCTGCAGAGTGTCACTCCCTGGTGTCTCCGTGTGCACGCACTGTGCGGCAGGCACGGCCGACCACCCAGTAGGCACGCAGGGCAGTCTGTGCACACGTGGAGATGCGTTCTCTGTCTGGGTAACCGTGTGGTGCGAGTGAAAGTAACTGAACTTAACGGTTCTTGACAAGCAGAGTGAACTTCTGTGTGGGAATTAGCTCATTGGTATGTTTCGTCCGGAACATTTAACGTGTATCCCTACACAGAAAGCATTACTGCCGGGGCTCCTGGGGGACTCAGTGGGTTAAGTGTCTGCCTCCAGCTCAGGTCCTGATTTCCAGGTCCTGGGATCGAGTCCTGTATTGGGCTTTCTGCTCTGTGGGGAGCCTGCTTCTCCCTCTCCTCCTGCTTTTACCTCTTTCTGTCTCTTAAAAAAAGAGCAAGAAAGCATTACTGCCTTCTGTTGTAACTTACGTTCGGAACAAACGCAGAAATAAAGGGTGGCTCGTGTGGGTGCTGAGTACCTGGGGCACGGCCGCATTTGCTGGGGTTCTGTACGACCTGCTCCCGTGGCTACAGCTTCTGCCCAGCTCTGGGGTGTGGGGGGAGCCGCTGTGTGTCCACACGTGGGAGGAAGGCTACAGACATCGACACTTGGAGGACTGCAGAGACGGAGTGAATTCTTGGTCTGGCCCCCTGAACCAGCGGGTATGTGCGCTCCCATTGTAAAAGATCTGTTTTCTCTGTCTTGAACTCAGGAAGTACGAATCAGTAGTTAGTAAAACACCCAGAATTCTACCTTGTCGGTTAGTTTAGTCTGGTTTTGGTGAACCCTTTGGTACGGTCATTTTTATTGGCTGATTATAGTTGGAATTAATTCCTGTAACGTTTGGACTGGCAAGGCTAGCATCAGAGTAGGTCGTCAGTTAATAGTTACCTTAAATAAATTATTCTCCTTGGTTACTATATTACATTTAGAGGTGACATTTCTTCCCATTGCCATCTCTGCTACATTTTGTGTTCCTGACTCCCAGTGGTCGTGGCCACGTGGAAGGCCAGGCATGTGATGCAGGCGCATTTCTTAAGGGGAGTGCATTTGTGGTTGCGTCGGGACAGTTTCTGGAACTTAGAAATGGGTAATAGCGTGTGCTCGCTTGGCCCAGCCGGGCTGTGGGACGAGGGCCACCGTTCGTACCTCACCTCAAGCCGTGCACATCCTAAAAACTCTTGAACACTGCACTCAAGACGAGCCCTCACCCGTGGGCGCTGCCGCTTGGCAGCTCTGCGCCTCGGCCGGTGTTGCCTGCCCCTCTTGTTCCCTAGGCCTTGGGGTCTAGTCAACTTTTCTGAAGTTTGAATGCTTGGAAATGCGGTCTTCGGAAAACCTGGGTTCCCCTCAGAAAATGCAGATGTTGCAGGCCCCTGAGAAGTACTTTGAGACCACAGGTCTGGGCCTCACGCAGAGCCTTGCCGAGTCACAGAGGTTCCTGAAGCGTGGAGGGGCCGAGTGATCGTAAGTGCGGGCCTGCTTCTGAGGGCACGTCGCCCCCCGGAACGAGCTGAGCTTCAGCTACCTGCACGGTGATAAAGGTGAGAAACGGGCAGGGACGCTGGAAAGACACGGTGGGGTTGATATTTTTAACTTCTTACCGCGTTGTATTGGTTTATTGTTAAAAATGTTCAGTTGCACTTAGTCGACCCAGTGTCGCTTCAGCGCGCGGCATAGTGATTCAGGACTGCCACGCGTCACCAGGGCTCGTCACAGCAGGTGCGCACCTTGCTCCCCGTCCCCTGTGTCCCCCATCCCCGCCCCTCTCCCCTCTGGCGACCAGCAGTGTGTGCTCTACAGTGAAGAGTCTGTGCCTTGGTTTCTCTCTTCCCCTTCTTCATCTGCTCTTTCTTCAGTTCTGCATGTGTGTGAGACCATGTGGTACTGTCCGTCTTTGACTTACTTCACTTAGCGTAATACTCTCTAGTTCCATTCATGTCATTGCAAATGACAAGATTTTGTTCTTCTTGATGGCTGACTAATATTCCATTGTTACACACACACACACACACACACACACACACAGAGTTTGGCTGTTGTGAATAGCGCTGCTGTAAACATCGGGGTTCATGCATCCCTTTGAATTAGTGTTTCTGTTTTCTTTGGGTAAATACCTAGTGTAATTGCTGGGTCAGAGGGTAGCTCTATTTTTATTTTTTTGAGGAATCTCCATACTGTTTCCCAGAGCGGCTGCACCAGTTTGCGTTCCCACCAGCAGTGCACGAGGTTCCCCTTTCTCCGCACCCTTGTCCACACCTTCATTTTCTGACTTGTTAATTTTAGCCATTCTGACCACTGTGACGTTTTATCTCATTGTGGTTTTGATTTGCATTTCCTTGATGATGGGTGATGTGGAGCATCTTTTCACGTGTCTGTTCCCCATCTGGATATCTCTGGAGAAATGTCTGTTCATGTCTTCTGCTTGTCTTTTAATAGGAGTATTAATTTGGGGGTGTTGAGTTGTAGAAGTTCTTGTAATTTTGGACACTAACCCTTTATTAGTACCTCACTTGCATGTCACTTCTCCCATTCTGAAAGTTGCCCTGCTGTTGGGTTGACTGTGTTTCCTGTGCTCTGCAGAAAGTTTGTATCTTGATGAAGTCCCACGAGTTCATTTTTGCCTTTGTTTCCCTTGCCTCTGGAGACTTACCAAGAAAGAAGTTGCTACTGCCACGGTCAGAGAAATTACTGCCTATATTCTCCTGAGGATTTTTATGGTTTCAGGTGTCACATTGAGGTCTTTGAATTTATTTCTGTGTGTGGTAAGAAAATGGTCCAGTTTCAGTCTTCTGCATGTGGCTGTCCAGTTTCCCCAGCACCATCTGTTAAAGAGACTGTCTTGTTTCCATTGGACATTCTTTCCTGTTTTGTTGACGATTAGTTGACCGTAGAGTTGAGGGTCCATTTCTGGGCTCTCTATTCTGTTCTGCTGATCTATGCATCTGTTTCTGTGCCAGAACCACACTCTCTTTATGACCTCAGCTTTGTAATACAGCTTGAAGTCTGGAATTGTGAAGCTTTCAGCCTTTTTTTTTTCCTCCTTTTTCAAGATTGCTTTGCCTATTTGAGGTCTTGTGTGATTCCGTTCAAATTTTGTTCTAGCTCTGTGAAAAATGCTGTTGGTATTTTGGTATTCAACGTGCAGACTGCTTTAGGCCTTACAGACATTTTCACAACATCTGTTCTTTCAGTCCATGAACATGGAACGCCTTTCCGTTTCTTCAGGTCATCTTCAGTTTCTCTCCTCAGTGTTTCACGGTTTGCAGAGTGTGCGCCTCTTTCTCCTGTTTGGTCGGGCTTCTTCCCAGTATCTTACCTGTTTTTGGTGCAGTATTGAATGGGATTGATTCTTGAATTTCTCTTTGTGCTGCTTCAGGATTGGTGTATAGATAAACAGCAGATTGCAATACATGGATTTTGTAACCTTTGACTTTACTGAATATGTTTGTCAGTTCTAACAGTTTTTTGGTGGAATCTTTGCAGTTTAAGGTGTGGGCCATTATCTGAAAATAACGGACGTTTTGACTTCTTCCTTGCCGGATTGCATGACCTTCATTCCATCCTTCCTTAAGATTTGATTTAATTATTAGAGACAGAGACAGTGAGAGAGTGCAGGTGGAGTGGAGAATGAGAGAGCCTGACGGGGGGCTCGATCCCAGGACCCTGGGATCATGACCTGAGCCGAAGGCAGACACTTAAAGGACTGAGCCACTCAGGCGCCCCTGGATGACTTTTTAGTTCTCTCTGTTGTCTGACTGCTGAGGCCAGGACTTCCAGTGCTGTCACACGTAACAGTGGTGAGAGCAGACATCCTTCTTGTGTTGCTGACCATACAGGAAAGGCTCTCACTTCTTCCCCATTGAAGATGCTGTGGGTTTTTCGTAGATGGCCTTTATTATCTACCGAGGTATTTTCCCTCATACCTGCTTTATTGGGGGGTTTTTATCGTGATTGGATGTTGCGCTTTGTCTGCCTCTACGGAAATGATCATGTGGTTTTTTATTTGTAAGCATTTTATTTATTTGACAAAGAGATAGCGATGGAACACAAGCAGGGTCAGTGGGAAAGGGAGAAGCAGGTTTCCTGTGGAGCAGGGAGCCTGATGTGGGGCTTGATCCCAGGACCCTGGGATCATGACCTGAGCCGAAAGCAGAGGCCTAACTACTGAGCCACCCAGGCGCCTGCTCATATGGTTTTTATCCTTTCTTTCATTAATGTGGTAAATCATGTTGATTGATTTGTGAATATTGAACCATGCTTGAAGGCAGGAATAAATTCCACTTGATTGTAGTGAATGATTTTTTAATGTGTTGTTGGATTTTGTTTGCTAGTATTTTATTGAGAATTTTTGCATCCATGTTCATCAGGGATAAATATGCCTGAACTTCTCTTTTTTTTTAGTGGAGTCTTTATCTGATTTTAGAATTAGGATAATGCTGGTAGAATTCCCCCGGGAAGCCATTTGGCCCTGGACTTTTGTTTTTTTGGGAGTTTTTGGATTACTTATTCAATTTCTTTGCTGGTTATTTGTCTGTTTAAATTTTCTGCTTTTTCTTGTTTCAGTTTTGGTAGATTATATGTTTCTAGGAACTTACCTGTGTCTTCCAAGTTGCCCATTTTTTTGGCATGTAATTTTTTTATAATATCCTCTTATTATTGCTTGTATTTCTGTGGTGTTGGCTGTTATTTCTCCTCTCTCATTTGTGATTTTATTTATCTAGGGCCCTTTCTCTTTTGTTTTTTGGTAAGTCTGGCCAGGGATTTATCAGTTTTATTCGTTTTTTCAAAGAACCAGCTTCTGGTTTCATTGATCTGTTCTGTTGTTTTCTTTAGTTTCTGTATCACTTTTTTCTGCTCTAATCTTTATTATTTCCTTCCTTCTGTTGGTTTAGGCTTTGTTGTTCTTTTTCTACCTCTTCTATGTGTAAGATTGTTTATTTGAGATTTTTCTTGCTTCTTGACATAGGCCTGTGCTATATACTTTGCTCCTAGAACAGCTTGTGCTGCGTTCCAAAGGTTTTGGAGCTTTGTGTTTTCATTGTCATTTGTTTCCCTTTGGTTTTTTTTTTTTTTTTTTTTTAATTTCTTATTTGATTTCCTGATTGACCCGTTCATTCATTGTTTAGTAGTATGTTGTTTAACCTTCAAATATTTGTGGTCTTTCCAGATTTTTTCTTGCGGTTCACTTCAAGTTTCATAGCCTTGTAGTCTGAAAAGATGCATGGTATGATCTCAGTCTTTTTTGTAGTTGTTGAGGCCTGCTTTGTGACCTAATATGTGGTCTGTTCTAGAGAATGTCCCGTGTGCACTTGAAAAGAATGTGTATTCTGCTGTGTTAGAATGAAATGTTCTAAATATATCTGTTAAGTCCATCTGCCTCATTGTGTCATTCCAAGCCATTGTGTCCTTGTGGCTTTGCTGCTTATATGATCTGTCCATTGCTGTGAGTGGGGTGTGGAAGTCCCCTACTGTTATTTGGGTTATCACCCATATGTTTATGTTTGTTATTGATAGGTTTATGTATTTGGGTGCTCCCATGTTGGGTGCATAAATACAATTTTTAGGTCTTTTTTGTTGGATTGTCTCCTTTTCTATGATATAGTGCCCTTCCTGTCCTCTTGTTACAGTCTTTGGTTTATAATCTAGACTGTCTGTTGTAAGTCTTGCTACTCTGGTTTTCTTTGACAGCCTTGTACTTGGATAAATGGTTCTCCACCCCCTCACTTTCAATCTGGAGGTGTCTTTGGGTCGAAAATGAGTTATAGCCAGCACATAGATGGATCTTACTTTTTTTTTTTTTTTAATCTGTTTTGAGGCTTTGTGTCTTTTGATTGGAGCATTTAGTCCATTTACGTACAGAGTGATTGTTGATCTATATTTAGTGCCATTTTATTACTGATTTCATTGTTTCTGGAGATTTTCTCTGATCATCAAAGGTCTTTGGTCTTTCTTTTCCCCTCAAAGATTTCTTGCAGGGCTGGTTTAGTGGTCATGAACTTCTTTAGGTTTTGCTGGTCTGGGAAACCCTTTGTCTCTCCTATTCTGAATGACAGCCTTGCTGGATCCAGTGTTCTTGGATGCAGATTTTTCCCATTCAGCAGCACATTGACTGTATGATGCCACTCCCTTGTGCTTTGCCAGGTTTCTGTTGCAGAATCTCCCGCTAACTTTATGGGTCTTCCTTTTTAAGTTAATGATTTGTGTTGGTGCTTTTAAGATGTTTACTTTATCACTATTTTTTGCAAGTTTAATTTACAGTATGTCTTGGTGTTGGCCTGCTTTTATTGGTTTTGATGGGAGTTCTTTTTTTTTCTTCTGGATCCCAGCGTAGGGAGGTTTTCAGTTGTTACTTCCTCAAATAAACTTTCTGCCCCCTTTTCTCTCTTCTTCTGGGACTCCTGTTGATAAGAATGTTACAATGTTTGATAGGGTCACTGAGTTCCCTGAGTCTGTTCTTGTGTTCCTTATGTTCCATAATGCTTGCTTTCTTCTGTTCAACTTCATTACTTTCCATTACTTCATCCTCTAGGTCACTAATTTGTTCCTGTTTCCTCCAGCCTGCGGTTCATTGCATCAAGCCTGTTCCTATCTTATTTATTGTGCTCATCACCTCTGATCTGTTGTTTTTTTTGTGTGTTTTGTTTGTTTGTTTGTTTTTGCTCTTTTATCTCTGGGGTAAGGGTCTCCCTGATGTCTTCTTTTCTCAAGCTCAGTGGGCATCCTTATGATCATTACTTTAAGTTCTCTGTCAAGCATATTACTTACATCTTTTTTGCTTAGATCTCTGGCTGTGGTCTTACCGTATTCTGTGGTTTGGGATGAATTCCCCTAAGACACAGTGGGATTTTTTGTCAGCGTGGTTCCCTTTTCATTCTTTAACCTGCTGTCTCTTGAGTTCTAACAGACTTTCTCCAGATTCTGCCCCTGTAGGGAATCATCTTCCTGTTGGTGTACGTTGCCGGGCAGTGTTGGTCCTTTGAAGCTACCTGAGCCCCATGAAAGCCTTGTTTCCGGTCAGAGTAGCCTGCACCTCACCCAGATAACTGTCCCCTGCTGTCCCTTATCTTCTCCAAAGAACTGGATGCTCACAGTATGACTCTAGCTTGTTAAAGCAATTTGCTCTGATAATTTTTCAATAAAAATACATCCCTTGCTTCGGGATCTTGGGTTTATAAATTACTCTTGGATATATTTGTGAAGAAAACTCAAGAAATCTGATAAAAATCTGTCCTCAAATACCATGTTTTTACATAGTGATTTTAAAGTATGAAGTGTTTAAATAAATAAGGTTTCAGGTGACTGAAGTCCCTTCCCCCTTCTTAAACTATTTTTTTTTAAAAGAATTTATTTATTTGACAGAGATCACAGGTACGCAGAGAGGCAGGCAGAGAGGGTGGGGAGGGAAGCCGGATCCCCACCTAGCAGAGAGCCTGATGCAGGGCTCGATCCCAGGACCCTGGGATCATGACCTGAGCCGAAGGCAGAGGCTTTAACCCACTGAGCCACCCAGGCACCCCTTACACTATTTTTTAAAAGATTTTATTTATTTATTTGAGAGAGTGAGAGAGCAAGCCAGCAGGAGAGGGGAAGAGGGGCAGAGGGAGAGGGAGAAGCAGACTCCCCACTGAGCAGAGGGCTGGATGGGGGAGTTGATCCCAGGACCGTGGGATCATGACCTGAGGCGAAGGCAGATGAGTGAGTGAGCCACCCAGGCCCCTTTTTAAAACTATTTTTTAATGGAAATCTTTGTAAAGTTTCTTACATAAGTTTCAGAGCAGAGTGGCATAGTTTTGTTTCTTTCACTGTCTCCTCTGTAAGTCAGGTGACAGGCTCTCCGGTAATAGCAGTCCTTGTCTGGAGATGCACACGGTCAGTGGCCATACTCGGGCTGCTGTGGTGTTCAGCCGGTGGGGTTGAATTTGCCTCCCTCACTTGTCCCTCCGCTGTCCGTGTGCTGTGCTCTGCTCTGCCGCATGCTCGTGTGTCCCGGTCTGTGGCCGGCTGTGGGCCGGGAACCGGACGGTCTCAGCATCCCGGAGAGGTAGCTCTGTACAGCTGGCGGCAGCCTCAGATGACGAAGTGCCATGGTGGTGGGAGACCTCTGATGTTCCCAGACGGGCGGAAGCCGGAACGTATCGCTCGCCTTGCTCTTGGGCCCCGGGGCGCAGTCCCGGACAGTCTGCACTCCTGCAGCGTGACCGTGTTTTCTCTTTCAGAGGAGTCAAACTCAGTCTCCAACGCCACCAAAGCCCCCGTCCCCGAGCTTCGAATTAGGACTGTCCAACTTCCCTCCGTTGCCTGGGGCAGCAGGCCATCTGAAGACAGAGGACCTGTTTGAAAACAGGCTGTCTAGCTTGTTACTAGGGTCCTCGAAAGAAAGGGTAAGCTCCGGACCGTGGTGTCTGCCTGGTGCCGAGTCGGCGCCCGGTGCTCTGCCACACTCTTCCTACAGGCAGTGCTGGCGTGTGCGGGAGCTCCAGGGAAGGGGGTGAGCCAGAGGCTACGTGGGTGTGCAGTGGCCGGGTCAGACCGGAACCTGTGACTAGACCTCCTCTGTTCGTCCCCTTACTGCCCACCAAGGTCGCGTGCCATACAGATGCTCCCTGTCCCCACAAGGCTCAGATTGCGCTTCTGTTGTTATTCAGGACCTGCCTTTATTTTACAAGTCCACAAAATAAAACAGAAATCTGAGTTGCAACAGAAGCGGTAGACTTTTTAGTGATGCACGCCACTGCAAGGGGCCTGGAGACATCCTGCTGCAGTTCTGCTTGGCGGCTTTGGTCAGTTCTACGACCACACTAGTTGCTCTCCCTCTTCTGTAAGCACCTGCTGAGCTACGTGAGCCAGAGACTGAGAGTCTGCCGTGCTCTTGCTGGCTTCTGCAGCAGTCCCAAGGGACGGAGGGTCTGTGCAGCTTCTGGGAGTGATGCATGGCGCCTGGGTGAGCTCTCGCCGGGGCAGAGGTGTGGGGCACCTAGCAAGTTGCCACAGTAACATCCGTCCTTGTGTGAGATCTCTGCCTGGCTCAGTCACAGTCCCCTCTTGCGCCCTGATGGAAGGCCTCTGGATTGGGGCAGGCGCCGCCTCGCAGCTGCACTGGCCCGTGTAGACGTAGGGGGCCACCACAGAACCCCTGCGCTACCAGCTCTGGTAACCAGAGGCTCGGGGTACCAGGGGCTCGGGGAGCGGTTCATCAAGCCCCTTGTCCGGTCCCTGTCATGCTGCCATGTGCTTACCGCTCTGGTCCTTAACCTTGGAGGGTGCGTGGACTCCAGGAGTCTGTGCGTGACAGTACCCAGCACATGCTGCCCTTGACATGTCTCGTGCGTTATTTTAAGTCTTGCACCTTCAGACCGTAGTCTCTGGGTTACAGCTGCCTTCTCCATCGATGTCAGAGTGCGAGCGCTGGAGGGACCTTGACTTCCAGCATTCCCCTGGCCTTAACTCCCCTTGGTGGCGGGAACGGGGAGAGACCAGGCTGGCCTCCACCTGCTTCAAAAGCAGGAACTGCAATGGTTTATACTTCGAGTCTCCGTGCAATTTTTTTTTTTTAAAGAAAGAAGGGCCATTTTAAACAGGTCTGAGCTGGGTCCCACCGCCAGGGAGTCACAGCTTCTCCCCAAAGTCCCTCCAGCAGCTTTCCCGTTGCCTCGGTGCTTGCGTGTGGGAGGGGCTGCAAGGGGCTTGACAGCTCGCCCCCGAGGGGAGCGGGTCGCGCACCGGCTGCAGCGTCGCGAAGCCCCTGGAGTCGATGAGCCTTTATAGAAAGGAGGCGTTTTCTGCTCCTGCAGCTCAACAAGGACTTGTGAAGAGTCTGGTGCTTTGGTAGGGCCCGGTGCCAGGGGCAGAGGGCACAGACGGTGCCATCCCGCCCGCCTTGCTCCCTCCAGGTGTTCTCGGCTCAGTCCGCCTCTGAACCTTTGGTCTCCTTGGAAAGTAGAATTGGAGGAAAGCGTTCTTTGTCCTTGTGTGGAGCTGCAGTGACACGGCTGGCTCCCAGCACGAGGAGCGCCGCCCTGGTGCACTGCCTGGAGCAAGTGCCGCGGGTGCTGCTCACGGCCAAGGACAGGTTCATGTCCATGTTCCCAGCCTCCGTTTCCACAGCTGTGAAACGGGATTCATACACCTGCTTCCGGGGTGGGAACTGTCTGTGCCTGCCACCCACCTTGAGGCACCCAAATTGATTTGTCTGTATTGAAGGGTCGATCTTCGGGCTTTAGTTACAAGGAGCTGTGCGGAGTTCGGTCGGGAGCTCCACATGTAACAGAGACTTGAAGACTCCTCGTGTGCCAGGCTGTGCTGGGCACTGGGGTGTCAGGAATAAGATGCCTTTGATACTTACTCCGTGCAGAAAACCAGCTTACGGGCGATGCAAGTGGAGCCCAGAGGGGAGCCCAAGTCGCAGAAGTGGTGAGGGGTCCTTGGGCCTTGGGAGGGGCGCTCTGGACAGGCAGGGCTCTCTTTCCTCATGCTGCTAGTTGGCAGTGTTTTCCAGCTGCCCCGCTTGGTCTAGGCCATGCTTTGACCCCGGTGCCCCTCCACCGGCAGAAGGTGGGAAGGTTTGTCATTCAGACTAGGTCCTTTGTTTGTGTGTCTAATTCACGGGGACAGAAGTCTGAGGGCTGCGTCTCTACCCAAATTAAACCGTCCTCCTCCTGGTTTTCAGAGCCTAAACGCGGATGCAGGCACGAGCACGCTTCCCGCGGTGACCCCCAGAGAGCCCTTAGTGCCCGCTCCCTGTGCCGCGTCTGCAGCCTATGGGCGCTCCCCCTCCCCCGTCCGGCTGCCGGAGTAAGTACTGCCTTCTGCTGCCCTCGGCGCCGTTGGACTGCTCTTGCCTGTCGCGGGTGAGCGCGAGAGTCACGCCTGTGGTGGCGTCTTACAGGGATCCCAAGATGGTGGAGAAGCAGAGAGAAGCCTCGAGTGTGGACAGACTTCCTTCCGCCCTAACTACGACGGCCAGTAAATCGGTGCAGGTGAACGGCGCTGCTACGGTACGTGTCCAGCCACCCCAGGGGCTCGGGGCTCCATGTGCCTTTCCTGTGTCCGTTGCTTCTCAGTGACCTGCGGCCTGCTGGGTTTTCACCTGTGTCGGTGCCGTGCTTTCCGCACGGAATACCTCGGGTATGGGTACGGCTGCCGACCCCCCACCGGGGGCGCGGTTGTCGCTCGTTGCCGCCACCCTGGGGGCTGCTGCTTTCACTGCTGGTTGAGTGAGGTCGTCTTTCGAAGCGTCAACACTGCAGCCCCATGTTTTCCGTCGCTTCTCATCACTCGGGCAAGTCTCCTCCCAAGGGATGTCGAGAAGGAGCCGAGCCACCCCCGCCCACCTGTTCTCCCCGTTGGGCGGCTCCATGCTGGCCACGGGCCTCCCCGCCAGCTCCTCTGCCTGCCTCCTCCCCCGTGGCGCACCCGGCCTTTCTGTTCTGGTGTGGGGGACTTTTGCCATTAGATTTGGGAGGGAAACCCCAGCTATAAGGTCGCATCTCGGAAGGAGACGTTTATAGATTACAGTTGCTTTTAAGGGAGTGCGTGGCTTATGCAGGTGAGACAGTCTTCAGTTTCTCCTCTGTTACTTGGCTTTCAGGCTTCCACTTACCTGAAAAATTAACTTTTTAAAAAGTGTTTAACTCTGTCTTCACCTTTCCTGAATCCACACCACCAGCCTCTGGTTTGAAATGGGCACAAACATTGTTTGAATCTCCTTGGGCTTCCAGGAGGCCCATGCTGTGGTGCAGAGTGACGGTGTTTGCAAGGTCCCGTGGGCAGGGAAAGTAGATGCTGCTTCTGGCTCTTTCCAGGGGCACCTTTTCTCACACCTTTTAGGCTTCCGTGTGACTCGGGAGGGCACAGAGGTCGGCACTGTGTATCTTAGGACTGTTTCTGGTTTTACCCATTTTTATAAGATGTTCCTAGAGTGTCTCGGAGAGAACCTTGTACTGCAGGGGAAACCAAACCTGTTGAAATGCATGAACTTTTACAAGTGATAGCACTTCCGAGTGTGGAATTGAGCACCTGCTGAAAGCTTGGTTCACTAAGCAGAAGCGAACTTACTCTCGCACATGTGGAGGTGTCCTTCCGTGTACGTAACCCCAGCGTTGTGTCTGTTCCCAGGAACTGCGAAAACCCAGCTACGCGGAGATTTGTCAGAGGACGAGTAGAGAGCCTCCGTCTTCCCCGTTGCAGCCGCCGAAAGAACAGAAGCCCAGCGCCGTCAGCTGCGGGAAGGAAGAAAAGAAGCTCGCCGAGAGAGAGCCCCCCGCCCCCAAGTCCAACCCGGGACCACCCAAAGACCAGAGGAGGCCGCCAGGCCGCCGGCCCTCGCCCCCAGCCGCCGGGAAGCGTCCACACAGAGAACAGAGCACCCCTCCCAAGTCCCCTCAGTGAGCGCCGAGGTCTGGGAGGGCTGTGAGGAGCTGGGGTCACCACAACTAAGCACTGCCCCCCCTCGGGGCCGAGAATGAGCCGCTGGTTAGGGGCTTGCAGCGTAGACAAGGCCGGTGAGGTGCCTGCAAGTGGTTTTTCTTCCATGAGTCAGATTTCCCCCCTCTTGAAAAAAATCTATTTTTCAGGATTTAATTAATATAAACCTTATTTTAGGTTGGTGCTTAACTGGAGGTGATGCATAAGTCTGATTTTTTTCAGGATAGAAAATGCATTTATCCTAACAAATTGATATTTTTATTAAGCCTCCATGTGGCTATGAATGCAAGCTATATATAGTGAGTTTTTCTAAATTAAGCGGAACTATGCTACTTCTTTTTTTAAAATAACTGGTTAGCAAGTGCATTCCTCTGCGATGTCCAGACCGATGCGTGGGCTGAGGACCGCTGGGATGGAGGTTGGAGGTGACACGGTCCGTGTGGCCTGGAGAAGAGATGGGATCAGGTCACGCCCTCGCTGGCACAGGAGTTGTACTTCATTCAGAACCTTAGCAAGTGACGCTAGTGTTTTTGTTTTTGTTTTTGTTTTTTAAAAAACGTATAGCCCGTTTTTGATCTACTGGGCGAGATGCACCCAAGAGAGCCCTGAAACCTTGAGTTTTGATGTGCTGCAAGCTAGTAACCAGCCACTCAGTCCTGGCTCACACGGCTGTTGTGTAAGATAGAGTCAAAGCACATTGTGAATAGAACTGAAATGAAAACATAAACCTGGTTGCCCACTGACGTGTTCCCGCGAAAATGTACCCTGATGTTGTCTTGCTCCTGGGAGCTGCGGGGAGGGCGTGGGTGCCACCGTGGCTCCCGCGTCTGCCCCGTGTTAGCCGGCTCCGTGGGCGCCTTCCCGGACCTCCGCGGCGGCACACAGTGGAAGTGTTCCTTAAGTCGTGAGAGAGTGGTGTCTGCAGTGCCCTTGGTGGCGAGGCTCGCCGTTCCTCCGAGACGAGGGTCTCAGTGACCCCTCTGGAAGTGCTGCGCTCTGAACACCACGCATGCACTCACGCTAGCAGTTCATAATAAAGTTAAATATAAATTATTTTGTTTTAAAATGCCTAAATTTTTTCTTGAAGTATTCTAAGCAGCAGACATTAAAACATTTCCTGCTAAATGTAACCATACAGTTTATTCCACAAAAAGTTATTTAACAAGACTGAGGGTTCTTTTTAAAACATTATTTCCATCCAATATTTAAAGACTTGAATTTTATTTAAACTTGAAAATGACTTTGCCTTAACTTTTGTATAAGACAGCTTAGAGTTGGTGGAGACTGGCCCCTGGGTTGGCGCGAGTGGGTCACGAGCCGCTCGGTTTGGTGGGGCTGCCGCCGCGGGTGTCGCTGAGCACACGCTCTGTAGCACAGGGCCTGGCAGTGGCGTCCGTAGTAGACCCGAAGATCTTCAACAGTTGACCTTTTTCAGATGGTTGGGAAATCCTGTAAATGCGGATGGTCAATGCTGTATTACATGCGTGCACCTGGGAGTGTGTGCTTTGCTTGTACAGTTGTAAATAATCAGAACATATTAAAAAGGTACCCTACAGAGAAAAATCTGATAAAAATTATTGATATATTATAAATGTTGCTATTGAGCTGGATGTAGATAAACTAAATGTTGTGGTTTGAATATTATTTTAATTTGTTGAGGTGTTTTTTTTTTTCTCTGATGCTGGTGTGTTGGTCTGATTCTGCCTCTTTGCTGCTGCAGAAGGGAAATGGAAAGTCCTAGCAAAGCCTTCCGACGTTTTCATGCTCTTCTCACAAGTCTGTAAATATGTACTAATCGTAGCTAATGTGAGAGCAGAATGTAGGAGGCAGAAACCGGCAGGGGCTTCAGGAGACCGTAAGATAATCTACTTAAAATCAGAACTAGCACGGTTCGCCCTGCCGGAGGGGCGCACGCCCCGGTGCGCGGGACCGTCTCCTCAGAGAAGCCGCCAGGACTCAAGTGTCCGGAGCACACCATGCTAGCATAAGAGGAATGTGGGAGTTTCTTTTTTTGTAGGCGAGGGATTGCTGACTTAAGAAATCAGGAATTAATTGACCTCTGACGCTGCAACTCCGACGAGTGCTGTAAGGAGAGCTGGAAAGGCAAGGCCCAGGACGTCCTGCCTGCGGTGGTCTTTGCCGGCAGAGGGAGCGGACGCGGTCTGCCTCCGTCACCCCCGTCCGCAGACCCCGTGGAGCTGAGACTGCTAGCGCCAGCTGTAGCCGTCCCCCGTAGGCAGGGTGAAGGTGGCCAGTAGTGACAGCAACGGGGCCCGGCCAGGCCCGGGGGCAGCTGGTGCGTGGGAGCGGCGTGGCCTGGCGGTCCGGCCCCGCGCTGCTGCCCCGCGGGCCCGCCGGTGGCATCCAGGGTTGCGGCTCGCCCTGCGGGGGTTTTTATAGCGCCCTTTCAAGCGAAGCCAAGATGATCTGCCAAGTAGCTCCATCTCCTGTCCGAACACCAGCTTTCGGAGAGCACCGTGAGACTTTCCACTCACGGAAGGGGAGCCCGCGCGAGGAGGCTGGGGACGCGGCCGGTAGACGGTGGCTCTGGCGCGAGCGGCCAGCAGTCGGAGGCTTTTGTCCATTGGTAGAAGCGGAAGTCTTTCCTTTCCCCGCAGCGTCTCAGGGCGTGGAATCAGAGATGCAGCAATCACAAATGACATGTTAACTTGTGAAATCGTGTGAGGACACTTGCAATTTGGAAATAGAGGGATGAGAATCTCGCCCCATTTCACCAGACATGAATTTCCGTAGAGTAGTTGCTTTCTAAGAGTTGGTGTCCTGATGTTCCTGGTCTGGCCCGCCTGTCCCCGCATCATGAGTGTCACTAGCGGGCGGCAGTAGACGCTTCCGGTGGCTGAGTTCGCCAGGGTCACGCAGTTTACGTCCACAGGCCGGCTCAGCTTGTGACGAGAGCCGCGGGTGAGGAGGGTGCGTGTCTGTGCCTGCCGCCAGCGGGCTGCGGTCGCGGGCTCGTGCGCTTGGTGGCCTGTCCCCAGGAGCACGGCAGACAATCCAAGCCAGAAGTGGGGCCAGCAGCCGCCAGGCCATGGAGCGGGACGTAATCCGGAAGCTTTCTGGAGGGCCTTTGTTTTTGTTCTACTTCTTTTCATTAAGACTGGAATCAAGCTTACGTGTAAACTATCGATAATTTAAGTTTCCTTTTGTGTCATTCAGTGTAAAACTGTCTAATTTGGAAAAAATGTAGGTTATGAAAAATAAAGATTTAGGCACTGTTCAGTTTTTCTTTTGATTTTTTTTAATTAAAAATTCCTTCAAGAATACATCTTTTTAAAAAATAATTCTCGTCTCTTCCCGTCAGTGTGTGAGAATGGAATGTGGTTGCCTCCCAGCTGGTGTTGGACTGTCGCCGCTTCTCGCACACTCCGAGCGGGAGCGGCCGCAGCGTGAGGGGCCCTGGGCGGCGCGGCGGGCTGAGGCGTGCCGGGGAGCCCTGCGCGGAGTCCAGGTTTGACCACGGAGCGGAGTATCCCCGTGTTGGGGTCTTGCATTGCTTGCGTGAAACGGCCCATCTCTTGGGCGGTGTTCCCCCAGAGGCCCTTGGAGAGGGGCTCTTGTGGTGTTCGGGTCAGACGGAGCCTCGGAAACAAGGTAACCGACTCTCCCCGAACACTGGCGACGCCCCTGGCCAGGGCTGCAGGCGGGCGCACGGCCCGGACGTGGCTGAGTTGGGGCGCGCCCGGGTGGGCTGCTTACATGGCGCTGGACTGCCCGCCCTCGTCCGGCGGCGGCCTGTCCCCGTTTCCTCCCGCGGGGCTGTCTCTCTCGCACTGACGCGCTGTTCTGCTCTGTCCGCTGCGGACCGTCGGTGTGTTACAGGCACGGCCCTCGACCCCGCCGGCTGTCTTGTCGTACCTACAGTTTCGATTACCATGGAGTGGAATTTGTCATTCTTCTCCTGTGGTCCTAGCGTCTTGGTCTTGTTTATGAAGTGTTTTCCTACCCTGAGGCGTAAGATAACGTGTGCACCTGCGTGTGCGTCCGTTCAGTCCACCGGGGACCGCCGGCCTGTGCGTGCGCGTGTGGTCTGGGTCACGGCCGAATTCTGCTTGGGCCCTACGGAGACTCGCTCTTCTCTGTGTCACTCGTTTCTTCTCCGTGATGTGTGCTGCCACCCTTGGTGCCCGCAGAGTCCCCACAGACACGTGCGTGTTGTCTGGGTGCCCCGTTCTTTACTGTCCGTAGTTGGGTCTCTGCGGACACCGTAGGCTTCCGCTCAGCTGTCGTCCCGCGTTACTAGGAGTTTCTTTCACGGAACTCCCCGCAGTTATTCAGTGTGCGCCACGAAGGCAGGGACTGAGCCCATCCCAGTCGCCTCTATCCCCTGTTCAGAGTACACTGTCTGCCGCGTGGCTGGGCTCAGTAAATGTTTGTCAAGCTGACGAGATACTGAGTACCTATTCTTTTTAGCACAGCACGGGCCTAGAAAATTCGAAAACTGGGCTGATGCTTTGCTGTTTCCAGGCGACCATCCAAAACTGAGTGGCTTGACCTGACAGTCACACATCAGGATTGGCTGATGAAGGCTCGGTGTGGTGGCTCCGCTGACCCCGGCCCCACTCGTCACAGACGTGTGGGGCGACAGACGTGTGGGGAGACACACGCCTCACCACTGCGCGCACCTCTTCTGGGCCCGCAGGCCAGCCAAAGCCCGTGTTCTGACGGCCACGGGAGGGTGCAGGAGCCGTACCGGGCGTGTCGGCGTCCCTCCCCCAAGAAGGTGGAACGGTGGCATTCCGCTCCGTGGTCCACCCGCGGCTGTCACCGACGTTGAAATCCTGGGTTTTTCTGAACCTTGGATCCAAAGCGGTGGTTGAACACCAGCAGCAGACGGTCTCTCACTGCAGGGTGCGAAGGGCAGGGAGCCCCGTTGGAGCCCAGGGCGCAGACTGGCATGTCTGGGATTCCCTTTGACGCTCTGTTCCTGGCCACCCTGCGGAGGCGGGTGGGAGGTAAGGTGGGAAGTCAGAACGACGGGGGACTTGCAGCAGCACCTCCCCACTCGGGTCTGCGTGTCCGTGGGACCAGAAACACCACAGAGCGCTGCTAACACGTCGGGTGCCCACCAGAAGCTCAGGCTTGTGCTCCCGTGCCGGGAGGCTGGATGGGCGGCGTGGCCTGCTCCGAGCTGCAGCGGGCAAGTGGGCCACCAGACAAGGGGCTCCGCTGTACTGGCAGGGCCCAGGGTGGCATTACCAGAGGAGCGCCCCCCCCCCCCCCCCCCAGCCCCCGGGGGGGGGGGGGGGGAGGAACGGCTCTCCGTGGCAGGCACTGGTGATGGCGTGTGCAAGCCACAAGGTGGCGCTGCAGCCATCAGTGCGTGACCCCGGTGGGACAGCCAATGCCTGGGTTCACTCCAGCTCAGGCTGTCCTTTGAGCCGAGGTTGCCCCTTGTGTTGCTGAAACTCATGACCTGTTCAGGAATGGTTGTGTACCCATGGGCTCTGTCAGAACACACGTGTGTGCAAGGGCCCTCTGGAACACGGAGAAGCAAAGCAGGAGCGCTCGGGGGGCGGCCGGTGGTCCCGCAGACGGGATGCGTGCTCAGGACACTCACAGGGCCGGTACCAGAGGGCCCTTCTGAATGGGTGCGGTGGCGAGGCCCCGACGACTGTGGTCGCACGAGTCTGGGATCTATGGAAGGAAGAAAGAGCTGGCCGTGCCTGGCCTGGCCCCCTGTGGCCAGCGAGGCGATCGGCACAGAAAGGTTGGCCGGCGGTGTCCGAATGTGGGAATAGGTGGGAGAGGTGGGAACGGGCAGGTGGCCGCATGTCAGGGCCGAAACCCCACGCAGTCCGCACCCAGCCCTTAGAATCAGCCCTTTTGTTGTCGTGACCCGGGAGCGGTCCCAGCTGCCACAGCAGGGCCGGGAGTGCCAGAGGTGAGAGCCGGCCCCGGGCCTTGCTGCAGGCAGCCAGCTCGGCTCCCAGCCACGTCCGGCTCCCACGGACCCCGGGCAGCCTCCCCGCAGAGGCCGTGTGCCAGCGGGTCGCTGTCCGACCTGGGGACAGGGCTCGCTTGCGGCCGGGGCCTGGCCCGATGCCCCTGAAAACCACACCAGCAGACTCTTCTTGTTGGGACCAGCTTCCGAACTAGCCTGAGCCCAATCAGCAAAGGCAAACAGATTTCTTCCTGCTGCCTCTCCTGCCGTGAGCTTGGGGTTCAGGGCGGGGGGTGGGGTAGGGACACGGGAGGGTCGCCCTGCACGCCAGCCACTGTGGAGGACAGTCTGGAGGTACATGTGGTCGACAGGTCAAGTGCCCTGGGGAAGAAGCGGGCAGCCCCAAAGGAACCCTGGGCTAGTGCAGGCTCGGGGGCAGCCTGGGGGCAAGCCGGGGCTCAGTCGTCCTTGAGAGTTTCCTTCCTTCCGCTGGCTTTGGGTTTCTTTTGCTCTTCTCTCCCTAGTTTCTCGGGAGCTTAAGATGACAGATTTACGATCCTTTCTGAGGTCAGTGTTCCATGCTATACATTTCTCTTGAATCCCAGTTCTTTTTTTTTTTTTTTTTTTTTTTTGAGGTTTCTTCTTTGACCCATGGATTTTGTAGAAGGTGGTGTTTCACTTCACGGTGTTGGGAGGTTTTCCTCTTGTCTTTGTGTTACCGGTGCCTAGTTTGGTGCCACTG